TGCAAACAACAAAGACGAATTATTTAAAGTCTGTATTTTGTGTATGGCAGTACCCAGGGGTTGCCTGGAGAGTACTGTATATCAGTCTATCCATACTAGTGTAACGGCGATACTACTGATCGGGAGGCACGCGAGTAGTATGTGTTGTTCGTAGAATTTCGCTTTGCGTCGACTGAAAAAGGGAATTCTGTTGCGGAATTCGTGGGGCCACTTTGTAACATTTGCTTGGATTTGACCGACGAATGAGTAGAGGCAACGAATATCTAGGAGAAGATCTGTGTCCAGTTTTTGTAATTAAGATGCAGATTAGGGTTTTGCTTCCCTGTTCAATGGTTTGTAACCGGTCAGTTGGCATTTCCGAATAAATAACTCCGCAGCGAAGGCCCTCTTCCTTTCACTAGTACCGCGGATTTAATCAAGACTTCAACTCGCCCCACGTGACGACTTGCAGGAAGAGCAGAATTTCGGAAAGAACTCACTCACAAAGTACTTCGTGGTAAACTAAACTGCTCGAATTGACCATGATGTACGTTACTTTAATTTTTTTTATTGAGACGCTCCCAACATTGACCAAATACATCCTGAATGCTTATGCCACAAAGTTGCTATTAAAGAGCCTAGAAACTTTTAGTATGTGTACTGAGTAAAGAAAGTAACGAACGCTTCTTACTGACAAGGACAACTTCTACGGTGTCGAACAAGCTCTCAATGCTTGGACAAAACAGTGCCAGAATATGGCAAGCTTTAGGAATTTCCCCATAAAAATAACTCGTTTAACAGAACCAGCAACCTCGTGACGAACCGCATGTGCATAGAGTGATATGCCGAATTCAGCAAAAATCTGAAGACTTCAGAGAGGGTCGGCTATTTCCTCTGTGGTTCATTATGTTTGGCGTTTCATTTAGCCAAATCGATACCATATTTGTCACCCAGGGCTGCAGGAAAAGTTGTGGCAGGAACAAGATATTCTGTTGGTTCTGGAAAGCAAAAGACGATCTTCAAGTGCTAAATTTGAGACGGTCTACTCGACTTTGGATGTGGAAGTCCATTTCTCGTATTCTCGCCTAATGCAACTTAGATGAATGGTTTGTTGTACATTGATTGCGACTGCGTCTTACGAACCGTAAACATAAATGCATTACTCGAAAACTAATTTTTGTTTATCGCTTACTTAGATGTGGATATGGTATTTTTCAGGTAAAGCCCGCAGAGTATACTTCGACGGCCAATGATCTTGAGGCTATTATGAACATTACGAAAAATTAGACCATTTCACTTTTAAGTGGGAGATATGATTGTGTACGGTCTGATCCAGATTTTTGGATATTCCGGTCTCCACCCTGCAATAAATCACATCTATGATTCTCAAGACTTCAACTCGCCCCACGTGACGACTTGCAGGAAGAGCAGAATTTCGGAAAGAACTCACTCACAAAGTACTTCGTGGTAAACTAAACTGCTCGAATTGACCATGATGTACGTTACTTTAATTTTTTTTATTGAGACGCTCCCAACATTGACCAAATACATCCTGAATGCTTATGCCACAAAGTTGCTATTAAAGAGCCTAGAAACTTTTAGTATGTGTACTGAGTAAAGAAAGTAACGAACGCTTCTTACTGACAAGGACAACTTCTACGGTGTCGAACAAGCTCTCAATGCTTGGACAAAACAGTGCCAGAATATGGCAAGCTTTAGGAATTTCCCCATAAAAATAACTCGTTTAACAGAACCAGCAACCTCGTGACGAACCGCATGTGCATAGAGTGATATGCCGAATTCAGCAAAAATCTGAAGACTTCAGAGAGGGTCGGCTATTTCCTCTGTGGTTCATTATGTTTGGCGTTTCATTTAGCCAAATCGATACCATATTTGTCACCCAGGGCTGCAGGAAAAGTTGTGGCAGGAACAAGATATTCTGTTGGTTCTGGAAAGCAAAAGACGATCTTCAAGTGCTAAATTTGAGACGGTCTACTCGACTTTGGATGTGGAAGTCCATTTCTCGTATTCTCGCCTAATGCAACTTAGATGAATGGTTTGTTGTACATTGATTGCGACTGCGTCTTACGAACCGTAAACATAAATGCATTACTCGAAAACTAATTTTTGTTTATCGCTTACTTAGATGTGGATATGGTATTTTTCAGGTAAAGCCCGCAGAGTATACTTCGACGGCCAATGATCTTGAGGCTATTATGAACATTACGAAAAATTAGACCATTTCACTTTTAAGTGGGAGATATGATTGTGTACGGTCTGATCCAGATTTTTGGATATTCCGGTCTCCACCCTGCAATAAATCACATCTATGATTCAGAGGCCTACCGAGGCACACAACACTATGGTTTTTTGAGGAGGCAGATATTGGTGACTAGAAAGCTTGGCAATTTACCGTGCAAGGGAAAGACTCAGAAGGGCTTGTTTCTAACATCGTGGGTTTTGTTTCAAAACTGCATGGGTCTTATCATGAACTGTTGTGCGTGGGAACCCGTATTAGACGACTGTTCTGAATTTGAATTTCGTTCAGACAAGTCTTTATATCCTTATAATTGGAAAGTTAAATAAATCTTGTCTCAGTTTTAATGAGACACATCTGTCGAAATGTGTGCACTGTCACATCCACGTTCGCTTTCTGTACACTTTGCACGGTGTATTGTCTGACCCCGTTCTCACATAAAATGGTGTCGAAGAAATGCTATTATATTCAGGTTTTCGATTGCACTGATTTGAAGAGTTGCAAGACGGAGGTGAATTTGTTGTCACCTTCTGCAACCACAAGCAGCAACGACAGTTACCTACTAGATTAGTAAACCGAATGACCGGCTGCTTGTTCATAAAGAAGTTCGCAAGAAACAGACATGGCCGCCACTCTAAACCAAAATCATAATCCAGTTGGTAGTTGTTGTTTTTGCATCTGACTTGTGCTTTGGGGCCCGATTCGGGGATAACCTTCTCCCTACCACCGCACCCAAAAAACCATTCTTTAATGCAAGTAATGCTACATCAACAGAAAGTACATCGATCATCCACTTTCACGAAGAAACTAAATGCACCCTTTCTATGGTCTCTAACAAAGCGACACGCCACTTTAGTGCATAACAGTACAAACATAAGAACGCGGTGAAAGTGAGCCTTTTTGGTGGACCCGATTAGTGCACTTTTGCAGACTCTATAAGTAAAGTGTTGTGGTGCAATTAGGATGGGTGTGTTTGAAGGCAATTGCATTGCTGATCCCTATGTATTTTAGGCGCCTTGACACTGTAACCAACGTCTTCTCAATAGTGCATCATTCATCTTGCCCGATTTTCATCTTTTGACGTTTTGAGCCGTTTAACAATATGTCCATCACCATATTACCGAATTCAGTTGCATTCTTTACAATAATTCCTTTGTAAGGCCAATCAAGCAAAATCACACCGATCATCCATAAAAACTCAAGACTTTACACTATTTCTGTGTCGGTGACTGTGTTCATCGGAGTATCCACTGAAAGTATTATTGAGTGGAATTGATAAGTGTTGAATTAATTTGTCTTCGTTTATTTCTGGCGTTGACACTGACGGGCTGTCAGTTGAAAAATACAGACTTCCAAACGGTAGCAAAACTTGGATTATTTTACGGCCATGACAATAAGGTGTATGGCCTTGTGACAGTGATTTCAATAACACGGTGCAATCCTTTCAAGTTTGCTCCAAGTTTCTACTAACAAGGAGTTTTGCTTATTCGCAATCGAGCAAAATGAATAATCAGTATATGGAGGCTTGGAGGCTAACAAATGTTCACACACCCCACTACTTTTTTTCCATGTCTAAATGGTGTCAGTTGTGGTAATGCAGTTGTCTTTGCAGTAACGGATGAGTACCCTGACCGTGAGTTTGAGTCATGTGGAGTCTGTAGTACTATTCAGGAGATTTGTTTCGATCGTGCGACTACTATCCCAGAGGTCGCAGGTCCTAAAATTTCTTACGTTTTGTGAGCTGTGCACTAGTGGTGACTTCTGTGGATCCATCCACAGAACAAAATCTCAGTTGTAACCCCCCAGGAAGTTGGACGCAATCAAAAGCAAGATAAACTCACGGGCACATTCCAATGGAATAATATATTTCTGAAAAGCCTTGTCGCAGCTAATGAATGGTGTCAGTTACGCTGGTAAACTTTGGAAAGCATGTTACGTCTGCAGCAAAACAGTTGCACGTACAAATAAAAGGAATGTTACGAAAACTACTCAAAAGCCTAGTCGAACTGAATAAATCAGAAAAGGATTCTGCAGAATTCGATAGTACTCTGTCAATGTAGAATCTCACCTAATGTGTTGGCTAAGGCAATAGTTAGCTAGCTACTCGGATATTTTCTAGCAGCATAGTCCGGAGCTTTTAGGTACACATACGACTTCGTTCACTGAACGGTTTCGATGGGAATCGAAAGATCCAGTGCTTCGGCAAAGAGGCCATAAATTACCCATTTTGATTCGCATCATTTCAAACTAATTCCGAAAAATCGGACCATTTGACGATCTGTATACATATGACGACAAGAGACGAACAATCAGGATTAAAAAAACAGACTGAATGTAAAGACAGAAGTGTTATTGGCACCTTCCTGATAATCTGTGCAACCATGTTTCAACTCATCAATCTATCATTGTTGTCTGGCGAGTAGCTAACGTTATGTCCATAAATAATTTAGCCTGGTGGTCAGTGGATGAACGCCAACTCATAGATTCTGCAAAGTATGTTGTTTTGTGGAAGTATTTTCGCGAAAAAAATTCAAATGAATCGTAACATGGCAGCTGTTTGCCTAAGAACAACAAACTTCGCCTCTTCAGTTGGCCTAGTTCACATGATTTATACGTTTGGTACTCCTCATCTAGTCCAGTAGCAACATCCCATTGTGTCAGTATGATTAGCTAGCTAATTGGTTGGTTCAAATCGAAGGCACGTATGTTTACGCCCACGTTTCTGTTTAAAATGGGTCACTAGCTCGTAATCGCTCACTGTGTGACGGTCTCCAGTACACCTAAAACGTTGGTGACTTTCAAACTTCAGAATCCATCCATAGTGCATCGTTTATGTTGTTGGTGCACTGTAATAAGTGAAAACTACCTACAAATTTGAGTACCTTTTGAAAAACGTTTATTCCGACCATATCACGTCCCCCGCCATTTGCACCACAAGACAAGCGTGCAGGCTGCATGCCCTATCAAAATAGAAATTGTTCACACATGCACCTATTTCTTACATTGTTTCTGCTGTTATTGTCATTTTTATGTTTTGACTCCATGCCTGTAAAGTCTGTGACCTCAAACAGTGGGACATATTGGGCTTTCGATCCGGAGTATGACGTTGCAGAAGGTCTCCAAGGTGAAGATGATAAACCGGAACAAATAGACTACACCCACCCGTCAATAAAGGATCGGATCAGAGAACAAGCTACCGCGATATTTAGAGATGAGAAAGCTTTAAAAAGCCTGATGGAAAAGATGCGATCGTACTATTTGCTTTATGGCAGACCACGGTAAGTCTGAGTAGGACAGTAATTTTTTAGTCAAAATGTTTGGTGGTTCGCAGTGCTATACATGTGAAAGTGGATACTCATGAAGCTGTACACTTTGTTCAATCGGAAGTATTCAATGTTTTCAATAGGTTTTTCGCAACTAATCAACACAGCCTCAATTAATTTACGAGCAGTGCAATCATATTTCACATAAAAACAATGAGAGTTTGAAAACTTACCAGTTGGTGTCAGTGGTCATCTAACACATAGAAAATCGATCGTCAACTATCCGTTCAATTCATAACTAGGAATGACCAGGCGACATTTGTGGAATGAGTATTTGAAACAGTGCTACTTTCGTATATTTGCTAGGTAGATAAATGGACTAAAAAGCATCGGTGTAATAGGGCTGCGTCACTTTTTACTTACAAGATTAACGTGATTTTTTCGATTATATTTTGGAGACCAAGCAAATGTTCGAAATCTATGGTGGAAGTCCGTATGACAAGCTGCTATCCCTTTACTGAACCAAATTTTGACCGTGAGGAACCCGGAAAAATCCAAAAGAAAACTTGTAGCTAACACATTTGTGTTCGATCCGTACACATTTCTGATGGGATTTGCAAATCCTGATAAAAGAAAGGCCGAAGTCGCAGGTGCAAACGGGTGCCTTACTTATGGTATCTAAACAATGATTCGTTCAAAAAAATCAGTTATTTGAATTATGTACGAAAGGAATTTTTACCACACGTTAATTGCACATGGTAGCTTTACCTTAGAAACGTAATAACGCATAATGGATGTGGGGCAGTTGGTTCAAGCCAATCCGAGTTGAGGGATTTTTAGGCGAACGTCATTAAAGAGTAGCTGATTTTATTGTTAAAAAAATCCCTAGTGGGATGAATCTTACGCAAAGAAGCAAGGAGTTCTTTGGTTGGTGGGACAGTGATTACCATTAAATCACAATATATTGAGGCATCCTTGATTCATCTTCATAATCCGGATGCAGGTATCAACTTACGTGTGAGCTGGAAAGACAGGAGAAGAAAATTCAAGCTGTGTAAGTATAAGGCCAGCTGAAGGTAGAGTAACGCAGAGACGATTTTTTCTTCCGACTCTAAAACTTATGTTTTCACTAGAAAAAAACGAGGAGGGGTCAGTATATACCAAAAAATTAAGATAATGACTGGATACAAAGAGTTGAAGGAAATTAACTGTATGCTTCAATTCTTACTTCTGAGTGATGAATGGACTCTCCTCTAGTAACATTGAGAATACAACCAAAAGATTCAACTCAGTTTTAGAACAGTGAGGACATGCGATAGTCATAATACCGCCAAAATGTATGTTGATGTTAAGCCACAATGTTTGTTTGAGACTCTCAAATTACTAGCGCAACAGATTGGCTCCCTACTTATTAGTGAAATGGCCATTAGGCGTCTGTCCATGGTAAGTAAACTTAAAAGTTAGATGTTCTGGTAAGAAGACAATGTTGTGAGTGGTACCGCAGCGATTCATCAGACACGGGGAAACCTAAACACGATTTGGGAAGTGTTGCTGCCGCAGTGGTCAATCGCACGAAGCTTGTCCAGCCCCTAATGCTACTTCACTAGTTTTGACGGTAACCCTAATGATCAAAGACCCACTGAACGCTGTCAATTGGTTCGATGGCTAGGACGTTTTGAACTACCAATTTCGATACATAATTCATAGGTCTTTCGTTTCCTCGCCTGTTGACTCATCAAACCAAAGGCTGATAAAGGCTGATAAGAATGATACTTTGACATATCTCTTCTGAGAAAAATTAGTACATTCAATAAGGATTTAGTTCTCTCAGCTTGTGTTTGGAGAAGTTCGGTTGCTAAGAGCAGTCCAAACTAGGGGAAGCGTTTCGGAAACCGGATTTTTCACTTTTATTCTAGCAGATGTGATGCAACTGGGCGACTTAAATGCCTCGAGTAGTAAGTCACTATTGCGTAGATACGGGGCATTCGCTGAAAGTACCGAAACATTCAAAACATTTAAAGGTGACCCTTGTAAGGCGCAGTGGGTAAATTTGTAAAACAGGCCGGATGAATTAGATAATAATTTGAGACCTGTTTGCGTAGCTGTGACTAAACTGACTATTACTCACCGCTATTCTATCCGACTGCCTGATTTAGGACTGCAGCTTTTGATCTGATGGCCTTTTCTGGGAGAGGGTGGAATTATCTTAAAGAGGTTTAACATAACTGCCAATTCACAGTTTCCAAAAGTTTCAGGTGATGTTCCACCAATGGGATGATATGCACCATAGTGGTAAAAATGCTGGGGATTGCAAAGACAGCATACTGATTTTAACTCTCTAGGTTTTTTTCATAGTAGAAATTACCGAGATGCAAATGATATCTGTGAGGAAGGCCGAAAACTGGCAATAGTGATATCAAGTGGGTTACGAATGCTACGCAGCTTGAGATGTAGATCGTTCTATTTTCTGCGTTATGTGGGTGATTGGGACTCCTTAGCGTCTGGCCGATTTATAGGTGATATGTCGTGGTAGGACGGCATTTATGTAGCAAATTACGTTGATCCAGATAACAGGTTAATCAACGCTATATTTCTCGAGTTATTATGTGTGTGGCCACATGTTCTGTATAGTATCGCAGTGTATGCGAACCGAGATCCTGCTGCTATATATCTGGGCCGCCGAAGCTGAGCTAATGAACGGAGTTTGATAGCTGAGTAACAATGGAGCTTATCCATTTCCCCGTATGACGCGCAGCAGCGCGGTCAGCATAACTACTGTTCGATACACCAAAGATTGCGATTCATTCTGTCCAGAGGCGCTTTCCAGTAATCGTGCAGAATTTGTAGCCGGGCACTAAGGCGATATGACCCAAACTCCCTTAACGCAGTGCCACGAAAAAACCAAAAGATATCTTTTGTGTTTGTGTATAAAAACCTTAAGGTGTCCACTGTTTTCTTCAGCACATGTACAATTTCATATGCCACAATCGGATCTGTGGACCGAATTGATCCCTCTTGCTAACCAGTTGGAAATTTATGCGTCGATTTAGGTCGGACAAGGTAAATCGCATACTTTGAGGTATACCCACACCAGTGTCTGCGCCCTCTGGTCACCATTATCCCAGCCTTACTTGCTAAAGCCTAGTTGAATGTTTGCGGCGCACTTCATTCTAATGTTTTTTGCTTGCTGCATTTGTGTACTCTTAGTCTCTTATGAATTCAATTTTGTTATTGAGCGCATTCAGCATTAGACGCTTAATAAGTGAGTAGTATCACACTTTAATCGGAATTCATAATGTGAAATTCGAGTGGTGGAAATGTAAGAAGGACGATTTTCTGCCAGGTACCTCACGCTGTATCGTAGGTGAAACACGGTCTCATTTGGTGGTGATCCACTTGTTACTAAACTATCGGTCACGGGGAGGCTTTTAGGCATTCGCTAAAACCGTTCGCTTGCTGCTACTTGATATGCACTAAGAATGAATCAGTTTTAGTGAGAAAATTAGGATGTGTCATGACTTGTGAATCTTAACCCCGTAGACCTCAAACAATTTTGGATATATGGAGGGATCAAGTGCCGCGAAGGAAGCGCGGCCACCTCACAGTGCTCTTTCAGAAAAAATGTCACCTCTGTGGTGCACGTCGCTAGTGGTTTGAAAAACTGTGCCAAAGTGTCAAATTATATTCCCTCGTCCTGGATAATAAACTGTTATTTTTTGGTGTAAAGTGGCGTGAAGTGGTGTTGGGTGTCACATATGTCGTACAAACAAATATTTCTGTCTACGTTCGAAGATGTTTTTTGTTACTTTTATTGTATATTCCGTCTGGATATTCGGAACAGGTCATTTGACTTGGGTGCCGAAAGCAACAAAAACCAGTGGTAAATCTATATGTATGAGGTTTAGTGACCCTCGCTTACAAAACGTATTCCCTGTAAAACATTTGGATAAAAAAGGGGTCTAAGTATATTTTCTTGATAAAGTAAGCAAAAAATCTAAAACAATGATTCAATAGTTCCCATTCTGCGAGATAATTTTTAGATTCTGTGGGAAAATCCACAAAACAAGTTATTCAGATTTTACGTTCATATTAATTGCGTGTCGCTAATAGTTATACAAACTACCCTGCTTTAAATCATACCGTCTACTTAAAGTGGCAAACTATTCAGTAGAACCAGTATACTGAAGTTGAAGAAAACAACGCAGAAAGCGAACGAAGACAGGAAATAACATGACATCCTTTCCTGAGGCTCACTGATGAAGAACGAAGAATGTCAATATCTTATCTATTTGAATCTCTAGACACGAGAAGAAACCAAATGCATAAATCCATTAAGAGCTTATGGACTTTACGTGCAAAATCGAACAAGAACTGTCAGCTTGAACAACTACACACACATTCTTTCAATCATTCGCGAGTGCTCCAGACACAGTGAGTAGTAAGCTATGCATTAGCACCAAACTTCCCGACGAAAATTTAGGCTTGCTCAAAAGTTACTGACAGTGTGTCGACAAAACCTGCTTATTACAAATTTCAAGGTCTACAGAAGGGCCGAGGAGCGTAAGAAACTAAACACATTTTAGGCGTGCGATTTTATTTTTAGCTTTACAGATGGAAATTTACAATTATGTATTTGAACGCTAGAGCGGAGTTTGGCTATTAAAAATGCTGTTCGGACAACCCCGTTCAGATTTCATCCGCGCTTAAAAGATGTACTTAAAAAAGAATTTTACTTGTTCTAACAAGAAGATAACTATTACTGCAAGTTTGTCCTGTGTTGAACGTTTTGCACCCACAACATTTGTTTGTCGAAGTAGAACTATTCTTCCTAATAAGTTGCATTTTACTCAGTGAAGTTTTCCTTTTATCGCATTTATTTTATGCAAGAAGAAGGAAGAATCAACTTCATCCGTCCTCTAGGAATGGGGAAATAAACGTAGTCGATTATACGGAACTGTAAATGATCATCTGGTCAACCCACTGGACATAATATATTGTACATGTCTGGGAATAAA